TTTGAGAAATTTCCTACCAATCTGGCAATTATAGAAAGAAAAATATAGATGTAGTGACTCTGCGGTTAGCTGGGCGAATAAGACTGCAGGATATATGGTCGGCCGGAGGAATTCCAGGCGCATTACTCGTGAAACACAAGAGCCCAGATCACATTTATCCACGCGGCCGTTGGTGTGTGCTCGTCGATCAGTTTCGTCATGGGGGTGATTCGTCATGCATCGGAACGCCCGGTGGGCTGATGGACATGTCGATCTCTATGACAGGGCAGTACTAGAGGCCTGTTCATTCGACTGTTTTTAATACAGTGGACAGTGGACGATTAGAGCCACGAACTTTAATACATTAATGTCCTGGGGATTTATTCGATTGATTGCCAAGACAGCCCAAGAATGCGGGGTACGTTAACAGGAGTCTAGCTATACAAACTTGAAGCTCTGGCTCATAAATACTAGTCCTACACACATACAGAAGCCAAGGTACTATTTGAAACATTACAAAGTGAGGTGCTCGAGCGGATTGTGAGGTACAAGTGCGATTTAACCTAGCGCTCGAGATTTGTTTTATGGAGATTGCTTTTCGTTAATTAACAGTCTTCCTCTATAGTGAAATCATTTAACCCCCCGCCTTTACAGCATAGGCTTCTCAATCCTCCTTCCAATCTCGTCGAAGTGAATTTGTTTCCCAGTTACTAGGGCTTCCTGAAGGTAGGCACCGATTTCCACAGCCTTGACTGCGTTAGTCAATTTAATCGGAAGAGGCGTATTGTCTAGACAAGCAGCGGTGAACTCATTTGCCTCCTTAACGAAAGCAGCACCGAATCGGCCGATGAAGTTGCTAGGAACTTCTCGTGTAATACCTCCGGAGTGATAGAAGTTGACAAAGTTACGCTGAGGGTTGGTGTTGACAGATAATTTACCCTCGGTGCCAATGACCTCAGTCGTGTCTTCCTGGCCGTGTGCCATCATGCGGGAGCAATAGTAATAGGCGATTTTGCCGTTGTGAAACTCGACAATTCCTACTGCATTGTCATAGTCGTTGTACTTCTTCAGCTCCGGCTGGACAGCTGTAATTCCGTGGGCGGAAATGCTCTTAGGGACCGAGTCGTCACCGAAGAACCACAAGGTGAGGTCGATGTCATGAACAGACATATCAACGAAGACACCGCCGGACCATGCGGCATATGCAACATAAAATCCTGAGGGGTCAAACTTGTCACATGTCTGGCTTCGAATGATAGAAGGTCGACCAATCAGGCCTTGACTGATTTTGTCGTGGACCTCGCGGTAAGACTCATCGAATCGGCGAGAAAAGCCACACATGACTTTGAGATGAGGCTTGGTCTTTGCTTTCTGCACCACCGCTTTGCACTGTGAAAGCCGTTAACATATGTGTAATGAAAAGGCTGGAAACCAATGTTAAGATCCAGACTTACCACTTCAATATCTGTTGATAGTGGCTTCTCACAGAGAACGTGTAGATCACGGTCGATGGCTTTAATAGTCTGCTCGGCATGAACAGATGTCGCTGTGCCAATGGCCACTGCCGCTAGGCCGGGATGCTCGAGCATCTTGTCGTAGTTATCATACAGAGTCACACCATATGGCTCCAGATTCTGTCTGCCCCAGGCAATCTCTGCAGGATCAGGAGAGAAAGCTGCCACGAGCTCAGCACGAGGAGTGTGATGCAAAAGGTTAATGACATGGATCTTGCCAACACGGCCCAGACCAGCCATACCGACTTTGAGCTTGTGGACGGACATCTTGCAAGATGGTGTTTCAGATGGAAATCACAATCAGTATACAAGCAGAAGAAAGAGGTTATACGATGAGATGGAGGAGAGAGATGTTGTGAAAGGAATTCCTGAGCTGGTTCTTGTGACTCGAGGAGCACCTTTGCGCGCCTTATATACCCTGGAATACATGGAGATCGCAAAATGGAAAACTGGGCCATTTTGGTGTGAGGCAAGAATATCCGTCTGCTATGCATCTTTGCTATGTTGGAGAAGATCCACAATATGTCTCGTTGGTATGCCGTTGGTTGTCAAAGCTCCCTGCAGTTTAATTTTATCTCACTGAAATTGAGCGTATACTTGGGATGTGGGGAACGGAAAGAGTTGCCGTCCCTCGCATCAGATGGAGATACTTTCCCTTTCATCCCAATAGGTCTATTGACACCTCAGGCAGCAACACCGCCGATCCCAAACCCATGCGGGGTTACGTGGATGTGGAGAAATCCATCAACTGGATTCACTTCCTGGAAAGTCTCTCCGTGTCTTATTCTCATCTGCATCGTTATGACTCCATTCCGAGAAAAGAGGAGTCGTCTAGTTAGTGGCTGGTACTAATTGTCCAATAAGAGCTCCTCCTGCTTCTCCTTATCTGCAAGGACCATACTAATATTCCATACTTGCACTAAAGCTAACCGTTGTCCTAGTCGGAGATGTAGAGGTAGGATGAAGGGTGACCATCTCATAGATCTATGAGGATAGCAAAGCTAACCGGGAATTTTTTCCAGCTCGGCATCTCAAATGTATGTATGATCCATACCCTCATCATCAGCTCAATGTTTTACTCGGTTTTTAGGTGACACCCTTTCCCCTGTCTGCCATCACTGCAAACAAGCTAGGGTCGATTGCGATAGAAGCTTTAATGTGAGGTTCCGCGAAGGCTTAGATCTGAACAATGACCACGACATTGTATTCCCAGAAAGAGGCATTTGGCCACATCCGATAGGGCCCTGTGAGCAATACACGTTGACCAATCTCATGTGAGGAATCTCAATTAACCCAGTTCAAGTTCAATTCTACGATGAAACTATCGCCATCAAAGAGCAATATTGTATTGGTGACTCGGATACTTCCTTTCACCCGAGTGGCACCTTAGACTCTTTGTACGATTCCAGTTTCGGAGCCCCAGTTGGGCTATACGCGAGCCCTGATCAACATGAACTGTCGGTGTCGGAGTGTGCCTCAGGACCTCGATCGTCTATAAGTCCATCCGTACCACATATATATAGTGAGGAGATTCTCGTCGTCATATTGTCTCTTGATTCCTTTGTTTGGCGCATCTCAACTAACTATGTGTTCGGTAACGGGCCAGCTTGTCAGACCCTAGGGGTGCCCTTGTATCTTGGAAATGATCGTGGGTCTAGTTTGCCTTCATCGCCAAATAGGAATCTGCATGAGAACAGAACCACCGATGCTCAGAATGCCTCTTTTAGTGAGAGGGAGGCCGCACTTATACGCAACTATGTCGACAATATGGCCCTGTGGGTGAGTGAATCACTAATAGAAACACGGTGGTTGAAACACAGAGCAGGCACTGATAAATCACAAGGCCGATATAACCGACCCCCAACGACATTTTGAGATCGAAGTCCCATTGAGAGCACTTGGGGAGCCAGTATTACGTTATGCAATCTTTGCGTTCTCTTCTCGACATATAGATAGACAGAGACAAAAAGACATATCTGAAGCCCTACAATACCATAACCACTGCCTCCAGCTTCTTATTCCCGTTCTGTCTGGGCCCAGAGATAGTATCACAGATACGGTTCTTGCTGCAGTTGCGATTCTCCGGCAGCATGAGGAAATGGACTGTACGCTCAAACGTAACACAAACATTTGCTCCAGGCTTACCCGAACTAGGTGAGGACCATCAGTTCCATTTGACAGGAACAACCCAGATCTTGAATACGATATCATCGTTCGGATCAAGCGGAGGCCTGGGTGAGGCCGCAGCTTGGTTATGCCTGCGCGAGGACATTTATATATCACTCATTTCGCAACGGCCATTACAAACGGATTTGCATCGTTTCAGCAATTCAAATGTCTTCCGCCGGGAGGACGATTTTGCTTGGGCGAGTCGGATGGTCTTTCTTCTAGCCAAGGTTCTCAAACACGCATTCAATCACGATCGCACTGTCAATCATTCGATACTAGAAGAAATTGGTAAGGAGATTGAGAAATGGAACACCGGAAAGCCGCCCACATTCCAGCCTATCCAGTATGTCCCTCGTAGCAATGAGGTGCATCGAAGGTTTCCAGGAGTCTGGATGCTGCTGCCCGTCCACGGTAGGCCCCACCTCGAGTTTGTGTTGGTCATGCCAGCTAACATATGTGTCGTAGTGGTTGGCGTTCAGTATTATCATATCGCTCAAATCATACTCGCATTTTCCTATCGTCCGAACCCGTCTCTGGCATACGAGAGTTTCAGGCAATCGCGCAATATAGAGGTTAAACTTTCTGAATATGTCTCCCGTGGAAGAATGACAGTGTGACTGATATCCTTGACTAGAAAACCGTTCGAGGCCACCTTCTCACCGTCCTTGGCTTAGCAAAGTCTAACCCACGGGCCGAAAACACTCTTTTCACTGCGCGGCATAGTCTAGTTTCATGTGAGTTCTAAGGGATCCTCATGGCCACCAGTATCACCACGGTGGTTCCACGTTGTTGCTGTTGTCTCTTGCCTTTCACGTGGTTGTCTTCTAATATACTCATCTATTCGTAGGGGGGTGGATACTCCGGCACAAGCAAGATCAGGAAGCTGCTGAAAATCTGCTAAGAGACGTGGAGACAAGGACTGGCTGGGACGTGTCCCAATCAATTCAGTCCCTGAGAGAGCAGTGGTGTGATGGATCCGATGATAATTGACTTTAGGAGCCCAACCATGTCAGGCAAGTGGGAATCTGCCTTTGTAGAAGTCCATTGGCGATTTCTCGTTATGCCACTAAAATTGGGCGGATTTTGTTTATCCTATTAGATTTGTCTTTTCCTTTTCATTTCTTTACTCCCTCAAACCCTCTGAGCAGATGAGAAAGGATCCGCTGTCACGGTTGATACTGATTTTAGTCAACAAAGGATTTCTTTCTAGCCCTATCGCCTATAATTGCCGTGGCTGCGGTGTTTGTTTGCTAATGAAAACAGGAGCGGTGAAAGTTGAGATGGCGATGCACCATGACACCATACCCTGCATTAGCCCTAATCCTCTCCGATCTCCAACTGACCTATCACAATGGCCTCTTCTATCAGGCTGACAGCCACCGGATAATATACGGCGAGAAAGCCATCTTGCATCGTGTTGCCGCCTTGACCCATTTCTAATTTAGGACATCCGGAGATCTCCTATCATAAATCACATCAGCGAGGCGCACAAAGAGCAACCTTGATTTGCCTGTCGCCCCGATAACGGATCGGCGTGTATCCGCCGAATCTATTAAGCTCTACACTCTCCACGCAGTGTGCTAAAACCAGCTTCTGGAATCTGCCCTCTCACATTCTTAGCTGCCCGGTGAATTGCTCTTGACAAGGATCAAGCGTTTCTTGCATTCGGGATAGCAATAATTGGCAACCACGCACCACCAGACTAGCGCTTGTAAAAACAAGTCCACCGTTCGCACTCTTCATCCCCTCTCACTAACACCCCCCCCTCTTTGGAATTTACTTTGGTCGTTAGGCTCAAAAGCAGGTATTTCACCTCAGTTGTATCCTGTTTTGGAAGTGTATATCACTAGTGCAACTGCCCCCAATGCCTATCTTCCGCCATCTGAGGTCGCGGCTCTCCTCGTCGTCATCACCTGCATCTGAAGCAAGATCGGTGGACACCCACACCTCTTATCCGACCGACGGAGAATTTGTTACTGGTTCAACAACACGAAAGCCACGCATACCCAACGCCGCCCAACCGACAAAAGAACACCAAGCACGACTGGAGCCCGTATCTAGCTCGGCATCCCAAGAGCCGTCGTTCTATTGGCAAAACATCGACCCGCCAGCGCCCTCTCACAGTTATCAACGTCTGTCTTCTTACAATAATCGACTCTCAAGACGATCGTCTAAGTGGAGGCCCATGATGCTCCCCAACAGCAATACAGCTGCCATGAATAGCGCTCTTCCAGGCTACAACTCCGTGAGCGGCTCCGTCGTAGTGGACTGCAACGGGCTTCCCTACTTTCTGTCTCCTCAGGAGGAGAAGGAAAGGAACTCAAAGCTGCAGCGTGCCGTTCAAGAAAGAATGATGGGGCTAAGGCGAGAGACCGAATTTGCTTGGTCGCAGCCATGCCACGGTGCTACGCTACCACGATACTCTCCGCCAAAAGATACACAGTTACGCTCATATACGAAATGAGATCAGCGGAAATAATTCGAAACGTGGTACGTGCGCGACCAACGTGACACGCCAGTGGCCCTGAAACTGTATACGTCTTCCTTAGTTTAGGGGGTATCAGCGGCTGCCTTTTGAGAGTGCTCTCTACACAGTCAACGTGTGAACCAGGTGAATCCAGTGGAAGGACTCCGGGATGGTCTCAGAGCCAATTATGATTTATGACAATGACGATGGAAATGCCAGCGGAACAGGGAATTGATTTTGATATTAAGCACAGCGTTTACTTTATGATATGGCCATAGAGCGCCTACCAATTTAGTATTTATGTTTCTATACCAAGCAGACTTTAGGTCGACCGTAACGTCTACCGCCTATGCGTGTATGATAGTTGAATGTCCTTTGTGATCTTCATTTTTCCTTTTTGTCTTTCCACGAACTGTGTAAGTAAAAGGTTTATAAAAGTTCAATGGATCTGCAAGCCAAGCTGAGTAAGAGATATAAGGAGAGTAAAGAATAAGACATAGTATCATTATATAACTACCCAGTCAAGATGTTCTAACGTATTCAATCCAGTCATCACTAACATATCCAAGTATCCTTAAGTCCGAGAGTCTGCTCATGGACTTGCCCCTCTCCTCTCTTTTTACCCTTCGAAGTCAGTCCGCTATGTGAACGAATAGCGTCAAATCCATTGTGGTTTCGGTGCAGTAATAATATCAGTGAACGGGATAATCTTTCAGTAACCCTGTCTTTACCCACAAGGCATCGGGATATCATCATTAAGGCAATGGAGCTTGTTACGATTCGAAGACCGGCTCATAATATAGCCAGGATACCTCAGGCCAGACGACGTAACTTCTAAGTTACTAAGTTGTGTATTTCAAGCTATTTAACATAGTATTGAAGTATCCACCATGTCCACGCTACAATCAATGTCAAGTCCTATCACTTCCTCGTCGCCAAAATCAAAACCACCGGCCACGAAAATGCCCGCCTGGCGTGCAACCCGCCCATTTCTCTCTCCAGCTGCGCCCACAACGGCTTCACAGATTCCTCCTCCATCCTCTGAAAAGGGTATATATACTGAACAAACTCACGAAGCTGACCCACATCCCAATCCTTCCTCCAGAGACGCCTATCGTCCCTGTCGATCACCACCTCCGCGTCTGTGACACTACTCCTCGGCTCCACGGCAAAATTGCACGCCTCGTTACCAAAGAACCCCAGACTAGTCCATTCCGCATTCCACTTATATCGCTCGACAGACCCCCAGTCCTCGTTCGCAAAGGGAATATAGTCCAACCAACTGGCTATGCCATCCGCCACATGCTTCCATCCCGCCGTGTGCTCCGGGCCCCCTCCGGCAATCACGCCCGAGAAATGATGATTGATGATCCTGTCCAGGAGCGGTTGACACAGCCCCGCATACTCGAGCTCGGCGAAGTGCGCACGTCCATAAAACCATATCGCGAGCGTTCCACCAGGCTTTAAAAGCGCATGGAAGCTTCGCAGCGCAGACATGGTATCCATGAGCGGGAACATGAGTGCACTGACGACCAGATCGGCGGAGGCGGGCGGGTACTTGGAGCCCAGGTCTTCCCCTTTCTCGACTGCAAAAGAGAATCGGGATGCTGGCACGCTGGTGTTTGACAGGAAGTGCTTGGCATAATTGACGTGGTTCTCGTTGTTGTCGCTTACGACGACGTGGGAGAATCTCTGGGCCAGTTTTGCGGAGACCTGGCCCGGTCCAGCACCGACGTCATGGGCGATGGAGAATGAGGGCGGTTTTGGTTGTGAGTGTGAGGCATGGTAGTTGTAGATCAGGTCGTAGAATGCGTCTGTATATTTGGGGCGTGTGGCAAGGTAGCCTCTCCAGTAGTGGGAGACGTCTTCTTGGGTCAGGTTCCATACATTGGCCGAATCGTCATCCTTGTTGAGGTGGGTTGTTGCAGTGCTGAAGGGTCTGCGAGTATGGTACAGAGCTGATAAGTGGCGCGGATGGCAGCGTCTCAAGTATGCCAATGAAGCAGGCAACTTCATCGCGAGTTAATCCTCAAGAGTCATGATATTAGAGGAAGGTGGGGGTAGAAGCTTGGATCACTTACAAGACAGACATCATAAGCAAGGACTACACTGAGTTATCAAGCCCTGTATTGGCAAAACCGGCTAATCTGGCTGGCCGACTATCGCATTCTGCAAGAGCCGAAGTGTGACGATGCTTTAGCTCTGCAGCAGCCCCGGCGGATACTCCGCTCGTATCTTCCCACGGCCGATCCTTGGTTGTATTGTCAATACTGTGTAAATTTAAAGGAGTGGCGGATAATAACAGCCGCCATCCCCTCGGAATATATGACCTGGAGAGCAAGACGTTATCATGGACACCACCAAGCACGACTACTCCCCCGTTGCCTCGTCCGATATAGAGTCGTCCCGAACCTCTGATGAGCAGCGACGGGCCCTCCACAGACAACATGGACGATCCATATACTTCCACTATACACTCTACTCCCTCTTACTGCTGTCAAACATTGTGCTTTTCGGCCTCTGGTGGCGGGCCACTATACTGAGCGAGGTGTGCGTCCGACCAAAACTGTCTTATTGTATGTTGTTTCCCCTTGAGCATGGAAATCCAGCACAACCGTATATCAGGATGACTGACCCACCCCCAGCTCCCGCCAAACAAGTCATATCCTACGAACAGCGACGTCTCAAACGGGATATCGAAAACAACGTGTTCACAGGCAATCCCCGCCCCGAATTCGACGCAGCATGGAAACATCTCCTCGAGCGTAAGCCGTCCTCCACCCATTCCATCTACAATCCCTAACATCCAAACCAGCCATGACAATCAAAATCTCCTCCGAAGAACTCTCCCACCTCCCAGACCCAAGCATCGCCTTCAAAGATGGATCAGGGTACATCGCAGAGTTAGCCGTATACCACGAAATCCACTGCATCGTGCGCCATCCATCCATCCACAATCTATTGGAGACTACAGCTAACACTCAGTCTTTAGAAACGCATCCGTCGCCACTTCCATCTCGATCGGTACTATCCCAATATGACGGAAGATGACCGTATCCGGGAGGAGGCCCACATCGACCACTGTCTCGAGTACTGGCGCGAGGCAGCCATGTGCCGCGGCGATACGACCCTGGCGACCTTCCGCTGGGTCGACGGGCTGCCGTATTCGCGGGTGTATAGCGACCACGAGTGCGTGAACTGGGAGGCGCTGGATCAGTGGGCGCGATCGAGGATGGTGGATATGAGTGACTATGGGATGTTGGTGCAGTAGATCTTGCTAGAGACAACAAATGGATGATATGATTGTGGTTCTGTTACGTTTACACTCAACCCCCTCCTTGGCATATATAAACATGTCCACAAATCAAATACATATTCATAATTCATTACTGCTAAACCTCAAGTAACAATCCCCGTATCCGTCGAATTCGCCCACTTCTCCGCCCACATCACGACCTCGTTATAATCCCGACACCGCCGGCTCTGCCCCCACCCACTCGTCGTATGCGTTTCAGGATCCAGCACCTCTAGATTTGTATCCGCCGCACACATCAACGTTTGTCGGAGGTAGTCGAAGCAATGCCGGATATGCGACGGGGCCATTCTCGTTCCCGTCTGTTGGAGGTACTCATCCGGACGCTGCGCCCCCTTCGCTACATCGGAATCCTCCACGGCGACATAGTAGGCGACTAGAATAGCGTGCTATAGCACCAGGACACCCAACTGTCAAAACTACTTATTAACACAAAGGAAAGCGGAAAACCAACTCACCAAGCAATGCAATTGGTGAAAGACAGCGATGTTCGAGATGAACGGCGCGAGTTCAGGATGATGGATGAAACCCCGTCCGACTGGTTCTCCATGATTAGTGCGTTTCTTGACCCTGCTGGACGTGTGAGTTGGATTACCTGGGATTATGGAGTTCCACGCTGCTTCGGACTCAGACGTTGGGCGTTGGGAAAAGGTGAGGTTATGCTCCCAGACTGTTTTGATTGTGCCTTGGGGTACTGTTAAGACGAATGTTCTCAGTATATCTTTGATCTGTGGGAGGGGAATGGGTTTCTCACGTATAAATCCATCCCACTTGTTGACTGATAGTCTCTGGCCGATGATCAGGCCCAATGTGAGGGCTATTGTGAATGTCACTATCACTTGGACGAGTACTGCCCCTGTTCTGGTGTACACTGGCGAGGGTTTCCTAGGGATTGGGTTGGAGTGCTCTGATCCCATCGGGTGTAGATAGTAGTTGATATTGTGCCTTTCCTTGGGGAAAGGACGGTGTCATGGTCTGGAAAGCAATCAGCTTTGGAACATGCAGAGTATATGCCTTAATTTGAGTATAGCTGCTGAGATACACATCTGCAGACCTGTATCTCGCAATACGGTACCTGTCATAACCTGTTCCATTGCCCCAGGGATCGACACGAGCAGGAGAACCCCTCATTAGAGACACGAGGGGTTACATTACGAAGGATTTTGGCTAAACAGACGCAGTGGCGACTAACAATACAGAAGACCGTACATTGGATTCTGAACTACCAAGCTCATATCATTGGAGGAAGTACCGACGCTAAGCCTTTGCCCTAACCAGGGAAACATAAGTTGATGCTGTAATATTGCAGAATGGTGCTCGACACCCAGAGACTCGTATTCACATTATTCCATATAGGTCTGTATGCATGAAAATGCTCACCGAGAACGAGGAATTGCGTATACGCACTCGACGGATTGGCCGTAGCCAATGAGTCTTAACCGCAATACACCAGAACAGCACTCGATCTGCAATCTACCATCCGAATGGATTGTTCTGCTTCTCGCTGTGGTACCCTCATGAATTGAGCTTGTGCATCCATTCTTCTCACCGTAGAGCATATATAACTCCAGGTCCTCAGCAAAAGCACGCAGCAGGTCCCTATCCCAATTAAACCAACAGACACGAGACCAAGCCACAGCAAAGAAACAATGCGAACCACCACATACATATCCCTCCTTATGCTCGCTCTGGGCGCAGCCACAGCCTTCCCTACTACTCGGAGTGGTACTGTCATCCCTTGTCCCTTATATACCCAACGCATGCAGGGTTTGTGAGCTGACTAGTTCTATCCCGGAATCAAGCTGTCGTCGACGCCGATGATCTCGTCCGCAACAGTTGGTCAGAGAAGCGCAGCGAGGACGCAGACGACTTTGTCCGCAACAGCTGGTCAGAGAAACGTAGTTCGCAATAGCTGGTTCTCTAGTCAATCAGATGAGAAATATCAAGCCCAGCCTCTGGAGACAAGATAAAGAAATGGAATAGAAAGGGGATGTGGCTTAGTGGTGGTCATGGCTTCATGTAGATCCTTTGCAGTTTGTGGAACGATGTATGTGAAGGAAATATTGAGTTTAGACTTCAACGCTGAATACTCCGAGTGCATGGGCCTCATTGCTTTCTCACCGGGCTCATGAATTCAGTCGATAATCTCACGGGTGGCGTGGTGTCGATCGCCGACGGGGAAGCGGGATCACCCATCGAGTTAATTAGGCTCAAACCCTAGCTGGATCTGTGCCTTGACCGTTGCGGCAATGATACGCAGCAGCCGTTCGTATTACACGGTGGTACCTGTATGTGGCACGGTGTTGGATTGTCTGTGTGCCCCCTGCTCGTATGTAGCTAGGATCCCAGAGTGCAGAAGGTAAGCCTTCAGTTACGCCAATGACTAGGTAGATGGATATTAGCACACGTATACACTCTGGCGGCAGCTCCGTGTGCGCTCTGACTCCTATAGTGTATACGCGAGTAATGCACGCCTCCTTAACGAGTCAGGCAGACGGCTGATTGGTGGCTTAATGAATGTACCCTGCTATAGCATCAATGTCTGGTACTCCTGGGCGAAGGAGTATCTTCCGAAATAATTCCGCCGCTGCCGCTGAAATTACTAGCTTAGTGCCATTACCCGGCGTGTAGATACTCGTATGCACGTGTGGGCTAAGAGATCATCCCTTGTCTGGCATGCAGTCATAATAGTGATTATGGTTTCACAGTCAATTGGATGGATATGGGTGAGACTGATGGTTTACGGATAAGACTGTGTTCTGGATGTATAGACATGGGTTACCTATAAGACTGTCTATGCATGATGCCTTTGTTGAAATGAGAGCGCTTGACGGACTCTATGTAGCCGGGAAGTCAGGGAATAAGCAATGATCACTGGTTGTACACAGATAAAGAAACCATCAAATCAGCCTATTGATAACTGCATGAAGGGTGATCATGTCTGAGCGTTGGCCCCTAGAATAATGTCTGCAGCCTGCTCGGCAACTGCATACAGAGTAGCCTGTGGGTGACCACCGATACTCAGCGGCAGTATACTCGCATCTACGACACGAAGATTATGGACGCCAAAGACGCGGAGGTCTGGACCGACTACCTTGCCCATGGCGGCAGTGCCTGCTGGATGATGGTGGGCCAGACCAGTCGCCCGGATCCGGGCCTCGAATTCATCGTTCGACGATTGAGATGATAAAGCCGGCATTCCAGGGGGAGGCACTTCAGCCTCGATATAATCTGCTAAGGCGGAAGTGTCCAGCAAAGCCTGCATGGTGCGTCGACTGCCGTGGGTCAATGTAACACGATCAGCTTCCGTGTCAAAGTAATTAGAGTCGACCAGAGGAGGGTCCGTAGGCGATGACGACCGAATACTGACGGCTCCTCGAGACGTCGAAGCGAGTAGCATGACTGAGGTCATGATGAAGCTGCCATCCATGGGAACTCCGGGCACACCAGCCGGAGCATAGACAATTAAAGTCTCGACGAGCGGCCGACCGGGTTTCAAGAAAGATTCATCTGTGGGGGAGCCGAATCTCGCGTTATCATTTCGCACTGCTGCCCCCAAAATATCCGCCGGTACGTCCTGGTTAATAGCCCAGTCTGCCGGAAAGCCCTTCATAAATGCGGGATCTGAGAGGACGGGGCTACCCAGGGCAAGCCCGCGCTCTGGATTGCGCAACTTGTATAGCTGGTAGAGCGCAAAGTGATCATTTAGGTTCTTTCCGACCTCCGGCGCATCAATGATAGTTGGAATCGCGTGCTGGGATAGTATATTGGCTGGTCCAATCCCTGATAGCATGAGGACCTGGGGTGTCCGGAGAGTACCGGCTGCCAGGATGACCTCCTTACGTGCATTGAAGCGCCGACCATCCGACAGAAGTACCGCAGAAGCAATCTTCTGTCCATTCTGGTCGCCGTCTGTAAATTCAACTCGGTGAACAATAGCCTCCGTAAATACCCGCACACCTTCCAAGCTGTACGCTTGGGGTGCTGCCTGACGCTTCCCGTCGTGCCAGGTCTCTAGGAATTCACAGAGACCGGACAAATTTCCCGAGCAACCATCGGGGTTATATTGAACCCCAATCTCGTTCCAAGCGGCCTTGATTGGCTCCCGAAGGGGATACCGTCTGTTGGGGTCACTGGCAGAGACGGACGTAACATGAATCGGTCCCTCAAATCCGTGTTGCTTGGGGTCTGCTTTAGAGTCGAAGAACGACTCTGACTTGCGAAAGTACGGAAGCAAGCCATGGTAGCTCCATCGCTGGTCTCCGACTATTCTGGCCCAGTCATCGTAGTCCGTCGCATCCCCGCGACTCCAGCCACCGAAATTAATTACACTCCCTCCGCCGAGGGCCTTCCCACTATGAATAGTGTGCACTCGATTGCCCGTATTCGCCTGAGGCTCGGTGCTATAGGTCCAGTCGATATCAGAGCCAAGGAGCGAAAAGAGGCCCGGGAACGATTGTGTGTTGGGGTTGCTGGAGGCGTCACTGCCCGCCTCGAGAATGAGAACGTCGAGCGATGGGTTGCGTTGCTTTAGGCGTGAGGCGACTGCGCATCCTGCCAGCCCGCCGCCCACAATAATGTAATCCGCTTCCAATGCTGTGGTATTCATAGCTGAGGTGGTTGTGGTCGCGTGGAATGCTGGAGGCCAGATTGTCGAGGAAGAAAGAGAGTGGAGATGGGGGGCCTAAGTGTCAAAGCCACTACTACAGGATTGGTTATTGCCTACTATCTGACCATCCCTGTTAGTCTGCCGGCAACAGACTCAACGATAGGCCCCAGTCCTTTCGATCGGCGGGATTCTTGATGGTTCGGACACGGGGAAATATGATATGACTACTATCAAATGACGATTGCTATTCATCTGACCCCCGCGAAAATACTCTACAGCGTCCGATCGCAGGTATATCTTGGGTGGGAGGGCTCATTGATTTCAAGGCCAACAGTTAAACTTGCGTCCTCCAGCGAAAGAAGCTCTAGCCATATCGATGGCATCCCAATCAATCGTCCTCATCTCTGGTACGGCCTTCCCGCTCTACTATAACATCGGCGTGGTTACATGAACATAGCTTACCATCACTGAACTCCAGGTGCAAATCGGGGTCTCGGCTACGAAACAGCCAAAAACCTGCTTCTGTCTGGCAACTACCACATTATCATCGGTAGTCGAGACCGCTCGAAGGGCGAAGCAGCCGCCGGTTCTCTCCGCGCTCTGTCCGGCATCCATGGCACCGTATCAACAATCCAGCTAGACGTGACGGACGATCAGTCTGTCGATAATGCAAGGGTACATATTGAATCGGACTTCGGTCGTCTGGACGTGCTCGTGAATAACGCAGGCATTTACCTCCTCAACCGGGAAGCTGTCCGCGATACCCTGCGGCTGACTCTTGAGACCAATGTCACCGGTGCAGCGAGTCTGACGGAAGCGCTTCTTCCTCTGCTTTTAAAGTCTGCGCGCCCCCGGTTGGTCTTTGTGAGCTCTTCCAATGGGTCAATGACATATAATCTCGATCTGAACTCACCGCATGGCGGCACTCATGCCACGGAGCATCGCGTGGCCAAAGCTGCACTCAATATGCTATTGGTGCAGTACCATATGAAGCTGAAAAGCGTTCGAGTCCTAGGTGCGGATCCGGGATTCTGCGCAACTGATGTCATTGGAGATGCGGACGCGTTGCGCAGAATGGGCGCGACGGAGCCGGAGGTTGGGGCGCAGATTATCTCCTCAGTCGTGAAGGGAGAGAAGGATGATCAGCCAGGCAGAGTTCATGGCCCTCACGGTGTAGTACCTTGGTAGTGGAGGATTGAAACTATAACAGTAGACTGGGATGATTCAAATGTTACCGCTGCAGCATTTCCCTCGACGATTGAAGATATATAGTCAATAAGTACAGACAGATAATACATGCGATCTATCCAAAGATTTTTCTAGGCCACAGTAAAGCCCACTTTACCCACCTTAGTTAGTAGTATACATGTATGATACAGCACTGCTTTCACAGATTGAACCATTGATTGAAAACGTCTCCCGGATCCACTCGCGCCTTGATAGCCCTGAGCCGGTCCACATTCGCACCAAAGATGGTAGTCAAATCCTCATCACCATGAGCGAAGTTGATGTATCTGTATAATTCAATCAGTCTAAGATTGGGAGAAAGACAAAGAAAAGGAACGTACGTAGCCGGGGAGTCAAGCTCATCAGTAGAGCGCCACAGGTCACGAATCTTGGAACCGAAAGCTTCGGCGCCCGAACGAAGGCTGGTATCATAGTACCATGGGATAACAACGGCATTAAAGTTGACATTGTTTCTTAATGCAAAGGTAGTAGATGATTCCGGTATAGAGCGAGCTTTCTTCAGAGAATACGCTTCCATGAGAATCAGGCTGCCGCCGGTGCCGTTCTGCACAATATACGAGGCATACTCGTCCCAAACCTCTTTCCAGGTGCTGGGGTTCATCCGAGCAAGACCGACAGTATATGCCGGCTTATACCCACCCTTAGTGCAGAAGCCCGCCGCCGCATCATTCCAGTGCGGGTATTGAAGTTCGATCGTAGTGTCCTCCGCCGGGCCAAGGTCCAGGAAGGTTGCGAATGCAGCTCTTCCTTCCGCCTCAGTTCCGTAGTAGAATGGTGTGATGACGAGCATAGGCGTGTAGTCCGGAGAGCCACTGTTCAGGTAATACAGAAAAAGATTCATTTTCGGCTCTAAGGTGATCTTGTCGATGGCCTCCACCACAGCTTCGACCTTATCTGCCGTGTAGATTAGTTGTCCAAACCAGGCAGTTTGGCCTGAGGGCGAGACTGGGAGCGCTTTCAATTTTGCAGACGTGACAATGCCAAAGTTAGGGCCGGCACCGAGCATCGCCCACCAGAGATCCCCATCCTTGGGCGTGATGGTGTGCAAGCGACCATCTGCCATAACCACGTTGAGCAACAGGACGTTGTCGACTCCAAGTCCCATAAGGCCGATGAGGTTTCCGTATCCGCCCCCTAAAATAGCACCCAGGGCTCCCACACAGTTACAGTTACCGGTCTGAACGAGGGCACCATTCTTGGAGGCAGCCGCAATCACCTCTGAGATTTCAACTCCTCCTCCAACTGTGACTTCCGTCTTGTTATCGTTGAAATCGATCGTGTTAAGCTGTTTAATGTTGATCAGAAGTCCCTCCGCTCCTAAGTGAAATGTATCTGCCCACCCATGTCCTCCATTTTGAGCCAGAAATGGAATGCCATTGGACGTGCAGTAGTGCACCTGTTGAGTACTTGGTGTGAGAAATGGACAACCGTCACATCACAGTAGGGGGGTCAAAAAAGAAATAGAAAAGAGAAAAGGGGAGGAGAACGTACAGTTTTGGCCACATCATGTTCCGTAGCCACCGTCACCACAACTCCGGGCTTAGGGGCATCGAATTCGCTCCAACGCGGGTACGCGGTTGTGTTTGCGCCAGTAATTAAAGCTGATGGAGATAGGTGAGGTCCCAACTCGTGGGAGACACGCACAGGAGATAACCCGAGGACCTCATGGGCGAGAAGAGTCAGAAGCAGGGACACAATTAGAGTTGCCATGAGGTCGCGGGGGCCAGAATACGATGGGGTGGACAGGCGGTATGAGCACGTCAGGCCTGTAGAGGATTTTATACAGCCACCTTCTGAAAGCCACTACCCCTAAAATTAGAGGCTTTGCGATTTGCATGACGATTCGCTCAATCGCTTTCATTACTGTTAGTACCTGGCTAAAATTGCCCCTACGCTATCTTGTTCTCCACCATAGAGTACGCCAGGAGCCGTCAGACAGAGCTTCGCAGACGATCAAATCAGCCCACAGGCGGGTAATCTGAGTCTCGACTGGACCTCACCATTGACACCAGCTTGAATTCATATAGTACTAGTGGGTACTGACGCTATGTACCATGGGTCTCTGCGATCAGGGACCACGGAGTACTCCGAATCCAGTCTGAGATTGTATTTGTGGTAAAGGGTTAATGGATGATTGGCGATCTTTCCCAGAGGGGTTGGCTCACCGGAGTAATAAAAGCACTGCTACCTTTGACCTGCAGCTAATTTATAGGGGCAGGGGTCTTGCCCTAGTGCGCTACTTGGCAGCTTAGAGACTGGGACCCTGCGGCGCTGTATTGCTGCTGTCAAGGTCCGTACCGTACCGTATAGTACAAATGCTCAACCCCCCCTGGCTTGTTCGACTCCTCTTGAACGTGTGGAGGGGCGGATCACTAATGAGTGCTGCAGGTGTTGACGTTGGCTGCAGTCTTATCTCAGGACGAGATGGTGGAGTATCTTACCTTACCGACCTTGCATTTATACTCCTCCCCGCGCAACTCCGGGCCTCAGTGGGTGCCCATCTCAATTATTCACTACTATTACCACCGTCATGGCGATTGACACCTACTCGAAAACGCAGATGATTGCGTTGGGAATTACTTTCCTAATTCTTCCGTGTATCTTCGTGAATCTTCGGGTTTGGGCCAAGTGGGTTTCACGCGGTGGTGTACAATGGGATGACTACTTGATTTTTGGGGCACTGGTACGTGGATATACATGTGTATATGTTGCAATCTAACGAATTCTAGGCTTTCTCAGTCGCATGTTCTATCACACAACTCATAGGTACCTTATCTCGCGTGTCCCCAATGATGAGTCTGGCAGTGGCTCACGCTTTATCCAGGTGCCATCGATGGCCAGCTAGGACAGCATCAGACAACCGGAGCCGATGGAGAGCCACTTCTCAACGATCCTCGGTTCCTTACCTATGAAAAGGTATGTTTATATGGGGAAAGAACCGTCGCAAGGTCTGAATGGTCAGTTGATCAAGTATTCTGTTGGTTAGTGCAAGTTCGCCAGTCAATTGATGGCCGTCATTGGTTTGGGCCTGACAAAACTGTCGCTCCTCGTATTGCTTCGGGGGATCTTCTCAATTTCTCGCGTATTCAACCATGTCTCGGCGGCCCTGTTAGGTATTACGGGTGTCTGGACGATATCCTTCTTCTTCAGCAACCTCTTCACTTGTTATCCCATAACACCTCTAGTCGAGCCATTCTATGGCAACAAGTGCATCGACAGTGTTTCTATGTGGTATGCATCATGCATCACCGACGTGATCATCGACGTGTTCATCCTGGTACTGCCTTTACCTCTGGTCTTCAAGCTACGCTTGCCCATGAAGCAGAGATTGGCCGTCGCAGGCATGTTCATTATGGGCGCAGCGTATGATCCTTTTTCCTACGTCTCTACTCCATGCGACGACCATCATCCAGACTAACAAGTGGAGATCAAGTGTCATCGCAATCAGCATTACTCGCATGGCCATGTACTTCCATGTCGGAACCACCTTTATGGAGCACTACAACGATGAAACGTGTAAGTGGCCAACCCCACCTCTGAAGTGGGCGCTAACGTACGGTGATAGACTATACTTCTCCGGTCTTTTTCTGGACGAATATCGAAATCTCGCTCGCCGTCATCCTTGCCTGTCTTCCGACATTGCGTCCCCTGTGGATCGTTATCCGAGGCAGACCGGTGACCTTTGGCTCCAAATCTTACGAACCCTACAGCTCCTCGAGACAGAGCGGTCGATCCGCCCGAAATCATAAGAGGATTCCGGACACAGTCAACGAACTAGACACGATCAATCTGGTCGAGAGGTACCCTGAAGTTTGAGGAAGATGTATAGCATCTTCATGATTGTAATTTATGACATATCAAAAGAATGTTTCTTTGTTTTTCTATATTATTCGTCTTAATATATATACCTGAATGCAGATATTCCCCATACGTGTATAGCCCGAGGTAGCTACAATAGAAATCTGTCATTATATGAAAGAAGCAGAAGGAGTGATAAGCTGGCTTCTTAGCAAAAGGTGAAAACGGATCGAAATCAAGCTTGTGACGAATAGCTTCAGGAAGCTTTGTTGATAACGGAGTAAATCTCTCCTAGCATCCAGAGAGTCGCACTTAGATTGCGAAATCAAAAACCCTATTACGATGAACAAAGGGCCTTGACAGCCACCGATATGGTAAAATGAATCCCAAGGTCATGACGTGAAAGAACATGTATTCTAACAGCAATTTTAGTGTTCTAGAAAACAACCGGCCCCAGGTACAGTACGCCGTGATTAGGCGTTGGTAGGCACAGTGACGGGGCCGGTAGCAGGTAAGGAACGCCGGCCACCATCAACTACAAGCCACCATCAACTACAAGTCCGCCTGCTACCCCAAGTCCTATCCGCGGATTGATGATCACTGTTAGACAGTGGTCAAGGAAAATAAAGCTCTTCGTAACAGGTTGTTGAGATAACTATAAGGAGTTTGACCAGCTCCCAGACAGCGACGAATACTTCTAACCGCTCGCAAGCTGTTGTTTGCTCATTTTATGTTATATCCCAGTCGCCCACCAAATTGCTCACAGGCTTTTGTTGTATTTAGTTCTTTTCCGACTTTTTAACTATCTGTTCACATGCAACTATTATCATGTATATATTATTCCCAATCGAACAAGTGGTCAAAGTCACAATTAATTCCTGAGAATATAACCCCCTCCTTCTTCCTTCCTAACCAGTTATAGACATCACCTTTCCCTACCGTTCGATCTACTGAGTATAGATAGTTCTACGCCATAGCCACCCCTGCTGGACTATGCAAAGCGCTGTCGTAAATAGACAATCCTCTTAAAATACCAACCTCAGAAACATGCTCAACCACTTGAAGTCAGCCAAAAGATTCAATCCGTTATTACCTATAGACTAACCTAGTTTTAATCCTCTTTAATTACCCCGAGACGGGCCGTTGCCATTCCCACCACTGCCAACAGAGGATCTGAGAACGCCCCTACGCACCGTACCTTAAATTTTAATATACAGGCTATATGGTTTACAAAGGATTACACACCCCCACACCACCATTGA